TTTGTTCGAAATACTCTAATTTACTTTGATCTCACGGTATAAAGAGCGATGCTACATATTGACGCATCCTTGCATTTTTTTTGACTCATTTTGAGGGCAAAAAAGCTGTTGAACCCTTCTTCTGTCGCTTAGATAGAGTAAAAAGTGATATGGAGACGGAAGCAGCTGAATAAGGTGACATTCCTTATATATTCCCGAGATATATGTGGTCGTGGATGATTAGAAAGCAAACGGGAGGTGGGGCGGGGGAGGGGGGGAGAGGGAGGGGGAACTCATTGTAATGAGCGAAAATGACATATTTTGCAAGAAAGTTTTCGTTGTTGTCTTGCATGCACACAAATAAGAGATCTGGAGCAAAAAACGAAAACAGAACATACTTATTGATCGGTATAGAAACCTTGACGTTGAAAAAGCCTTGCGCATCGCGACGCAACCTCGCTTTCACTGACGCTGCTTCGTCCGTGCCAGCAAAGCAGTGCACCGATATATTGAAAACTGAATGATCGCTGACATTGCTGAAAAAAGTTTTGAAACGATTTCATGATAGCGAACGTGCTGCATGACGCAAGTGAAAAAGCCGGCACAGACCTAGTTGAGGGATAGATGCTCCATTTACTGTTCAGCAGTTCAATTCTCTGCGACAGTTTCTCGGTCAACGTACTTTTGCCTGCGGCGTTACAGATCGAGACAGTTGGATAATTGATTGTGATTTCGGCGACGCGCAACGCTGCATATGCTCTGGAGATTATACGCTTTTTAAGAAAGTATTTTCTGCGAAAAATAAGCTGCTTTCCTGGAGAAGGAATGGTTAGCTCCAAAGCACAAACCAGTGAGTTTTTGTCGCTCAGAACAGAAAAGATGCGCAGGAAGGCAAAAATGGCATTTATCATTCACCTGGTACACTGCGGATAACGGAACGTATAGGCGTTCTCGGGGCGCGGCCTCCACTGTCCATCTGAAGAGCACGTGTAGAAAACTGGCGGCTCAATGCTAAATTCATAACCATTTTCGCACTGTATCGAACAAGCCTTATATCGCAACTGCGGTCCCCACGATTCACAAGCCTGCACACCGTGCAACGGATCTTGCAAAGCCGGACAAAAATCATGCGACACACGGATCTGAAGTTTTGAACTGAGAAAATGTGCTGAACAGAACAAATTTCATAGATATTTCTAAATTTTGGAAATAACTCTCAGAATGATTTTGTCGTATAAATGCCCGTGAACTTAAATTACTGTATTTTGACTGTACTTATACTCAAGTACAGTCCAAGTACAGTAACTTAAGTAGAGCAGGCTCTTTAGCAATTCCTCTCTGCTCTTCTCTCGCTACGTTGACGATCCGCTTGCTCTCAATTGTCCTAATTTCCCTACTCTTCAACTTTGTTTC